ATTTTGTCGCTATCCAAATGCATCGATCGACCTGCCGAACTATATATATCCGCTATGTAGATTTTCATCTTCAACAAACCTTTTTCTTTTATGCATTACTTTCGTACTTCCCCCCCCCTCGAGCCGTGAATATAAATTATGCCTATGACCCTAGGTCTTTGTTATAAAGTTAGCCAAGGGCCTATGGCGTCATACAATCCTCAAAGTATAACCCCTTGAAGTATATAAAGAGAAAACCAGCGATACAAAGAACCCCGGGATAAGCGGCTAGGTGCATGGGACTGGTGATTTGATCTGTTTCTCTCTGCTCAACCTCAGCCCATGCCTACCTCGTCAATTAGACTTCTGAGATCGGGTATATCTCGTCCTACATGTCGGCATTTGCCGTTTCGGAAATCCATTATGGATCAAGCACATCGAAATTAAAGATAAAGCACCATTTGTCGTTGAATTGGAGTATCATTTCGCACCGACAGACCTGAAAGCCAACCAGTTGAGCGTTTCTATACAGTCACAAGCTCCGGGCAAAAGTCCCGAGGCGGAAACACGGAATCACACGCATTGAAAAAGAATAAGCAAATCCTTCCCATTCACCGTTGGCTCAACACATTGGCTGCCTCCTCTTCCTTCCCAAGTAGACCCAAGCTCCGGATTTGCTCAGCCTTAGGGGCATTCTCTCGCGGGTGTGCGGCCTCGGCCTTGCGATAGGCAGCTTGCATCTTCATAGTGCGGAGAGCCTGTTGTTCCAATTTCCCATTATTAGACTCAGGTCCATCATTCAAGTGTGCGGGTATCTCGATCGAGCGGGGATTGCCCTTACCTCTTTCCGGTGGTGAAGGCACTCATAGTAATCGTCCAGGGCAGGCACACACTTCTTCTTGCCGCTCGCACCATCGCCCGAGTTCACCACGTAGCAACCAAGGACCTCTTGCCAGAAGGGGTAGCAGCGGCCGGGACCTAGAAAAAGCCATAGTACATTAGCCGGGTTTATTCGTGGGGGAGGGAACTGCGTGCGCAAGTTGTGATCCGAGGGCATGCCGGCGTGGACCCGAGCAGGTTCTCCGGGGATGGGGAAAATGAGCACATACCGCCGTTGTTACCGTAGCCGGAAGCCATTGTGATGTGTAGAAGAAGTTAATTGAGGAAGTGGTAGGCACAGAGACCGCGAAAAAGGTAGTGATGAAGTGCCGGTGGATGCGACTCTTCCCTTTCGTTTCCGACTTGGTCTGTGCGCCCCGCCGTATGCAACATGGTCATCGCCAACTATGAGGCCACCTCACTGGACTGCCTCGTCTCTTTAGCTTGATCATGGCTCTCGAAGAGCTGTCCGATGCGCATGCTATTCTACTAGCTACACAACTCTGTGCAGGTGGTAATGTGGCGGATTTGCCTATTCTACAGGCCCGGTTTCCCCATTGTTTCCCGTTGGAACGCCTCCTGCGCATCATCTTGACCTTTCTCCCAGAAAGCACGGAGCCCTCTCAGTACACCCCGGTGCTACAAGAGCTAGCAACTAGCTCTAAGTTGTCACCCGACCGACTGATCAATACCTCTGCCGTGCAGGGATTGTCTGAATCACTTGCAAGAAAGCGCGTGCGGAAGCTTCATTTACGGCCACTGCAACGCCCTGACGAGGAAGACGAGATAGCTTCAGCAGATCCTTTGACCAAATTCCTTATCCACCGAGCACATCTGATCGACTCTGAAACAGCACTCCAGCCTCTTATCCTCGAACTTATCGCCCCGTTCTACGCGGACTCGCCAGTCATTCGAACATGGCTGATATCGAGCCTATTACCATTGCTTCGACTGAACTACGAATTCTACGCCCATCGTGACGAGATTATATCTCTTGAGATCCTGGAGTCTATGGACGATCAAACCGCGGTCAATATTCTCCTGTCTTTGATGAGCTCCGAAGAAAGCAACATGGACTTGGTCAACAACTTGAGGGGTCTGATTGGACCTTGGCTCTATGGTGGTAATCGGTCAAAACGACGAAGGCTTAACGAAGCAGCTCAGCAGAGTTCGGTTTCTTTCATTGAAGGCACCGAGAAACCCCAAGCAACCGAATTGGCTGGATGGGAACACGTGAACGAATGGCTACTGTCGCGCAGTCTCATCGACCGCGACAGCGTTGTGAGCGCCTATACCCACTGGGATGGACCATCAGATGTGGACTTGGGGGGATACGACGATGCTGGCACGCAATTATCCGAAGAGCAGGCGAGAGATTTACAGATTCGATACGGCCAGTCCGGTCTTGCTGTGGTGTATGCCCATGCAAACTCCTCGATGGCTGTACTGGAGGGCTCGTTCCAGGTCTTGACGAGAGTCGCGAAGCTCCTCGATTTTGAAGACAGCTCGTACCTCACTTCTGATTCAGAACTGCCATCTGTGCACTATGATTCCGAGTCAATCTTCTCGACATCCCGCGCATCTCTATTGCAGAACGCCCTTTTGAGGCCGACGAATCCTCTTACAAAACCATCTCTCCCATCGATCTCGTTTCTTAGCGCTTTACTTCTGTCCCTTCGTGTACTGACCGGACTTGGTCACCTGGTTCCCTGTCGGGTTGCGGCAAATATGTGCCTTCACAGCACCGAGGAAATGCAATTGGCCGAACTCAAAAGTGTGGTGAATTCTACTGTGAAGCAACCGAATGTAAACCAAGACTGGTCTATGGTTCGACAACGATTGCTTTGGCTTCGAGATTGGCAGGCGGAACAGTCCGACAACGCCTGGGATGAACCTTCACCATACCATGGACTTTTCTGGCGGATCCCGCACGACACAGTTGAAACGGAGATCTTGAAGGCGCTGCTAGCAGCTAAAGGTGATGTGACCCAAATTCATTCTTCGTTGTCAATACTGACGTTGTTTCTAGAGTATCAATTGGCTATTAATATATACACCAACTCTAAAACAGCGCCACTTAATCCTGCCCAAGTGGAAGCTGCGGTACAAGAGGCCATATTCACAGCATACGATAATGCAAGCAATGGAAATCGAACCCGGGGTGGAATGAAGAGAGCTTATGACATGTAAGTGGTGCTACTGAAAGAGGATATATGGACTCGTTGCTGACAATAATTTAGTCTACAATCGTTTGCCTCGCACTTCCCAGAGTCTGTTATATTCAAACAGATTTATGCCCTCATTGCTGCAACACACGCACTCTCATACTATTCGCTGACCCTGCAACACGGGGTTCCATTTCAGCCCGTTAGCATTCGTGTCCATCACGATCCCATCCTCTTGATTGAGAAAGTACTTGAGCAAAACCCGAAGAGCTACACCAAACTAGACGATCTTCTCTCCATTGGACGAAACCTAGTAGCCGCAGGCGTTCCTACGCAAGCGGCATCACACGAAGCCGAAGATGAGCCAACTCACCACAAACCCTCAAAGGAGCACGCCCTCCTCACAGCAGAACGTCGCATCACCTCCTTAGCAATTGCTTCCGCTCTATCCTCCAACGACTTCGGCACAGCCTACTCCTACATCCAAACCCGACTAACACCCCCTTCCCTCCTCCCAACCTCCTCCCCTCTCCTAAACACCACCTCCGTCCCTGACGACATCACCTGGCGCGCCGTCTACAACGCAGGCCGCTACCGCGCCACAACACCGACCCACCCACCGCCAACCCTCCAATCCCAAATCGCGCACCTCTCTCAGAGAATGGAACTCCTCTCCCTTGCACTCGTCCTCGTCCCATCTCCAGACCCACTCCCGGAAATCCTCGGCGCCTGGCGTCGCTGCGACGAAGAACTCACCTCGCTGCGCGCGCGTGAACAGCAGGAAGAAGACATCTGGGATAGAAAAGGCGACACACTGACCTCCGTCCCGGGCGGATTCGGGCCTTCGGATTCGGAGCGTGACGCCTTTGACACGGAGCAGCAGCGTGCTGCGCGCCGTGCACGCGCTGCGATGCCGAACTCTCATCACCACGAGGCGCCCATGGGTCTATTTGAGGTTGCTCGCGGCGCGGCTTTGGCGCTGCACAAGAATGCTTTCCCGCTGAGGGGCGCAGCTGATGGTTCAGCGTCGGTTGCTACTCAGGATGATGATCGGCCCTTGTCGCCGGATAGTGAGGGCCGTGTTAGGAAGAGGGATATGGTTAGCAATATGATGACTGGGGGCTTGGTTAGTGGGATCGGTTGGGTTCTTGGCGCTGATCCGGTGAACAAGAAGTAGGGAAGGCGGGGACAATATGGGGTTGCGAGTAACTGGAGGTTGGAACACCTTTCTGTGGTTGAGCATGCGTATGGAAACATGTGCTGTATGTAGCTTTATGATAACAATGAGACATATTATATTTTACTAGGATGTGGACGGTCTTAAATGGGCGAGTCCGTACTTACTTGTATTCTTGTACCCATATACATCTAACCAAAGTCGAAGACAAGATGCAATGGTATTAAGTGCCTAAGTATGTCCCAAAGGAAGTCTCCAAAGCATTGCAACACTCCCGCATCCAGTGCAAAGCGATAAACAGACCCAACATATAACCCTAAAGCAGACTAAGAAAGCGAGCTGTACAAAACACGATATACGGAGATGGAAGGTATGTCCAGGCTCGAAATGTAACAGAAAAAGACCAAAGCAAAAGAAGCGAGACCAGTCCATCGGAAGGAGATGAGGGAAACAGTGAAAACCAGAGGGCGAAAAGGATCGAAGGATATGCGACGCATGGAGAATGTCGGGCCATCAAGGATCGTAGGTGAAGCGTAGCCGATGAGATTTGTGTTGAAGAAAAAAAGGAAAAAGCATTTGCTGATGATAAGGGGGTATGAGAGTAATGTCGAGCCCCGCGAGTTCCGGCCCGGGGGAGCCAGCGGAAAGCACAAAACGCAGATGGATACGAAGTAGAGTCGTGATAAACGGGGTTGAGTTGTTGACAGCCAGGTCAATCCTTGGGGTCCAGCCACGCATACTCAAAATAAATGCAGCAAAGCAGTAAAGCACCCTCAAGAAAAAAAGGGTTGGGGACTTGTTTACTCTTTCCAATCCCACACCTGCCTTATAAAGTTCGTCATGTTGACCTTCTTGTTTCTCATATCCTGCACCCATGGATGTTCCAGCATCCGCCAGGGTGTCGCACGTCGAGGGGGTTCTTTTTCCAAGCTGGCGATCGAGTTAGTATCGAAAAATAAAAGTTACAAAGACAAAGTACATACCAGCATTCAATGAAATATTTGAAGTTGTCCGACCAGCGAATGCCATTTTGTGGCTCATCCTTCAACTTAGGAATTGGCTGGCGGACGATATAGGTTAGGAGATCTATTAGCCCTGCACGGGGTTGCATCTCAGTCCCATCAGCAGGGAAGGGGAATCGATGCTGCGCGACTTCCAGCAAAGTCACACCGAGAGACCAAACGTCGGATGTAATGGTGTATGATTGACCAGTAATGCGTTCTGGGGCCATGTAGTAGGAAGTGCCAATGAAGGTGTTGGCGTCGCCCTTGGTACCGAATTCACCGCTGACGCCAAAGTCGCAGAGTTTGACCTTGCCATCACGGCACAAGAGAATGTTCGATGGTTTGATGTCTAGAAAAGATTAGCCGCTTATAATCAATGTATATCGCGGAAGAATGGTTCGTACCTCGATGAATGATCTTTCGACTGTGGAGATAGGTCAACCCATTCAAGACACCTTCTGCGACCTTGCCAAGGACTTTCTCTCCAGTGCGACCTCCAAGCTTTTTAACCTCTTTGTAGATGCTGTCCAGACTTCCACCTTCACAGAACTCCATGGCGATAGAGATGGTGCCAGTGGACTTGTCCATGAAAGCACCGTAGTAACGACAGATATGGTGCGAAGCGCAGTCTTTGTTGAAGTTAAGCTCTCGAACAATTTGTTTCTTGACATCCGGGTTGGGGTCTGTAGTAATGATCTAGGATGGGATGTTAGCTTCTATCGCCGAGGGCAAGTATGCAAAGGTTGACCAGCCAAAGCGACGCACCTTCAATGCAAAAACGGTCTTTCCTTCCTTGAGTCGGCATCGGGTGACAGCACCGCCGGCACCCTCTCCCAGGCTACCCAGTTCAACAATCATATTCTGTTCACTGGCCGCGTGCCAGCCTTCGTCATCGAGATCATCCACATCAAGGGGCCGGCCCTTCTCTAGACTCAATTTGTCCAGATCGGGGAGGAGGCCGTTTACATTGTTTTCACGGTCTCCGTTCTCGCGATCTGAGTACACCGAACTAATGGCCGAGGACGGATCTGACGAGCCATCCGGTTGTCGGAGACCCATGGCGAAATTAATCGTCGAGTATGAAGGGTTTGAAGAGGCTGGTCCGTTGGTCTGGATTTTTAGACTGGGTGCACCACCTCCACCTCCTAGGCCATTTGTACTCAGTGGGGGCGGGGCTGGTCGACCGTTCGGCATGAGGGTTGGCTGGGATACATTCTGCTGACTGCCCATAGGAGTCGCTAGATGCAGTCGTGGCGGTGCTGGTCGACCCGCCGGACGAGGCTGAGGTTGGGGTTGGGTTTGGATTTGAGGTACTTGGGCGGGGGCGGCATTGCCATTGACGGGTTTGGCGCTAGGTGAGGGGGGGATGCCTAACGTGAGCTTCGGGGCTCGTGGGCTGCCGTTATTGTTGCGAGCGCCAGGAACCGGTGGACGAAGGAGAGGAACGGGCGACGACATGGCGAGATTGTTTTGCCTTTCACCAGGCAAGAACAACTCGTTCGGATCTGCGAGAGTAGCCACAGTGTCGACCTTGGACCAGTCCGCCTTAGTGAGTCTGAGGAGGGGGAAGACGGATTGGAGTGAGCGAAAGGTAATGTGAATGGCAGAGGAGAAGCAGAAGTAGAAACAGAGGTGAAGAGCACTGGCAAAAACAGAGGAAGAGGCAGAAGTAGAAGTAGAAGAGATAAGGTAGAGAACAAACGAGTGGAGTTTGGAAGTTACCGAGCGATGCGGCAGGTGACCTGTTACTCCACCATATAAGAAATAGAGGATCCCTTCGTACTTTTTATAGAATATATGTCAAGTAATTAGGGTCTAGTTCCAACGTTTGTAGGACTAGAAAACTCTCTCTCCGTAGGAGAATATTAATAGAGCGACACAGCCGACAAGAGAGGTCGGGCTGTGGTGGGGCCTTGACGTTTCAGAAAGCGCCTGAGCTGAAACACATGTCTATGATGTACTTTGTAGGATGTACAATTATTAGATGTCTTGATTTTTGGATCAATCTTCGTGTCGTTAATATCTACATGTATTCAAATTCTTTTGTGATTATCGGGGAAATCAACAGAGAATTCTCTTGAGTAACCATGGTTCACGTTTCCCCTTTTGAATTTTTATATCAGGTCTATACCTACCTGTACATACTAATATACATGTGCTACAATGTCAAAACCAACAAAACAAAACACTAGATCTCTCCTCCGTACTAATATAACTGTCAAATGTTATAACCTTACGTTGTTGCCTTGGAGCCGCAATTACTGGGCACACTTACAGACAAACTGTGGCGAGACATCATTGCCAGCACATTCAAGCCTATCCCCCACCTAAAGACAACCTATCACAGGCCGTAGAGATCTTACCCGCCTGTACAGCCTTACAGAAGTACCGACTTTTTTTCTTTCTGGCAATCTATCCAATGTGTTATATGATGCAATCTCCAGTTATAGCATTGCGAAGGCCAATATATCAAAAAAGAAAAACCAAAAAACCAAAAAAAACCTAGATTAACTACGTATAGATATGTCATTGAGAAGCTAATTGCAGGGCTAAGATGTTCTATCCCTTGGAAAGGTGTGGCTTAGCTCAACCCTGTGGCCACGCAATGAGACCCGATGATGACATGGGCGGGCCCGGAAGCCCTACTTGATCCGCACCAGTAGCATTTCAGTGTCACTGATTTTGTCTCGAAATCTACTCCGTAGGCGTTAAAAGGATCGGTTACTATCGAAGCGTTTAGTTAAGGTCGTGATTTAAATTATGTAGACCTAATTCTTCTCGGAAGAGCCGGTGCCAAGTTCCATAAGGTCAAGCTCAATCGTACATCAGATAGCTCCGGTGTGGATATCACAAATTGAGTTCATTTAAGACAAGTGTTTGGTAAATCTCGATTTAATTTGGTCCCGATGAGCAGCTACGATAATAGCTGTTATATCTACCACGTACTTAGTACCCCAGTACAACCTAGATTTTATCCGCAGTGGAATAGTCGATCCTAAAGGATGTCTGACCTAGCTAATAGATAAACAATATTAGGAAAGATTCTAGACGAAATCGTGTGCTTGTCTTAAAAAGGCTTGTTTATACTAATAGTCCCAAGGATGTAGTCACAGTAATCAAAAGCAAACCGAACCATGATCGAGATTCTCGCTGTTTGATGAAATGGGAGATTCGGTTTCGGTCCTACAGACTTTTCAAGCATGACCATACTGACAATAGGACCAATTAAAGACCCTGGTAATTGCCGATCCATGATCATTGGGAGACTTGCAACGCCTCATTTGAAAGGCAGCGCGCAGAGCAGCTAGCTCTTCCGATCCTTTGAAAACAGCCTATACTGTATGAGCTTCCACGGGTGTTGTCTTCAACGTTGTATTACATGATACCACCGAGCCCATTGTGGTACGAAAAAAAAAAATCGTCTCCGCGCATGTTATGTATGTGGATTCCGTGCTCGAAACGGAGTATTCGATGGACACAAACTCAATGAGTCTACTCTGTACTATTGTTCTCGGTACCGCTCGCTTGTGTCATCAGCGCTAAAATAATGACGCGTCGATGCTGATCGGTCGGGTTGAGTGACGGATAGGTGATTGTTGATGGCGATCACACGAAATCGATTTTCGCAGAGTGGACGAGGCGACGTGATGGGGTAGCAGAAGAGGACAGTCCCGCACCATAGCAGAATTGATGTCTTGGGGGGTGCGAAGGACATCATTCTACAACGTAGATTTGTCAGTATTACGTGGGGGGGAACAAGCCATACGAAATCTGTCATATCAAGTCCAAGTCATTGAGCAGTAGAAAGGTGACGTGGATGTCAATTACGAATTCTCGACTTGGCCGATGTGATATCCGTCTTGTTCATGGCGCCGCGCAATGGTTAGGAAATGTCAAAGGATGTGAAGTGAGACTTCAGGATGCGGTATGAGCAGTGGGTTGAGAGAAAAGCCCCTTACCCTGAAAATGAGAGACAACTGAGGTCAAATGAGGAAATCAAGGATATCCCACGCGATAGGCGAGGCTGAACTTCGGAAAAGTTCTAGGTCCACTCAAATCATTATCTCACGAACACCCCTATCATTGATAGTATGGCTCAACGTTGTGCTATATATATAAAACATGCTTTACCAATAATTATATCCTATAAAGCTAATTGTAGCTAAAGATAGTATCAAAGATGGGTATGGGGTTAATAAGGGTACAGCCTTACCGTATAAAGCATATAGAATACTCCGTATACATATGCCCGATCTATTGAAAAAGGGGCCATGAAGCGCAAGAATTCAATAGCGGCATGTGGAGTTTGGGCGCCACGAGGCCCAGGAACACTGCGAACAACCCCTATCATGGAGTCCGGGCAACAAAATTGGTTCAAAGTCAAAGGCGTTAACCGGGCTAAACGATCATTGGCTATGCCCAGGTATACCCTGACTTGCTCTGGCGGTCGAACCGCTTCGACAGTCTGATCCAAGGTCTTGACTTAGGAATAGGATGAAGATCGACACACTTTTATGCTGTAGGTTCTAACCATAGTGAACTATAAGTACGTGTGAGTATAACTACCGATTATTTTAGGGTGCACATTTCTTACAAGCAGATACAAAACACAAAAATTAAAATGGACTTTGCAGCTCGAGTGGCCAGTGTAACAGACTCATAATTACAGCATATGCGCCATGTCAGAGTCACCCAATCACACGGCCAGACCCCGATATTAGTTTCTCAAATTGCGCTTGGGCATTGACTCCCACATTGCCTAGCCCAGGGGCGCGAGATGCAAGCATCGTCAAGCACTATGAAGTAAAACAATGCGGTCTAGCCGTTACGGCGTGAAGCGAGACCTTCCCGTTGCGGGGGCAATTTACAGTACCTCGAGTAGTGGCGTTGTTTTTCGGGTTTATCGGCTTACCTAGGTAGTATTTCTAAAATTGGCCGGATAATATTACAGCGGTTGCGCAATAGGGATAGTAAGAAACGGTAACTCTTTGATGCCAGGAAACATGGTCAACATTCAAAAAAAAGGTCTCAGACGACGATATACTCGGTGCTCCGGAGGACACAGTACAGTGCCATAAATTAGGATACACAGAAATCAGATATAATAATAGTTAAAAGGTGGCAATGTGTAAAGGCAATACGTAGTAATAATACAAAGGGTGTCTCGGGATTCGCTCCGACAAAGAAATATCCATGTTAAGATGAACGTCCACAGAAAGAACCAATCCTATTTCGCAAGTCAAGTGCACATCATCGTGAATTCGCCCTTACACAATACGTTCTCTTGGCGAAATAAATGGCGGGCTGTTCAGGGGTAAGTGGAGATGAGAATAGACCCACGGGGAAATGCCAACAACTGGGATGCCAGGAACGGGTAGTGGATCGCCGATGCGGTCTGAAACATCAAGATTAGACAGAGAGGAAAAAACAAAAAACCATACCTGAGAGAGGGAGATGGTATTGTATAGTATTGCAGTTTTTTTTTGCTCTTGCTATGGAAGTATGAAGTATGGAGTATTTAGTTATGTACATCTACAAATATGAAGTATAGGAGTTTGATACTCCGTCAGGGTGTCTCCAAAGTCTAGGCGATCGTCATAAGTTAACGCTAGAAACCATAGCGGGTCAAAATTACAAACTAACCTAGAAATGAGAAACAACCCCTGACATTGATCCAATCATAGAATTGAATAAATGATGGCTGTGCGAGGATGAAGTTCTGGGTACATGGCAGGTTGCGGTGTGGGTTAGTTATGGATTAAGTACCTAGTACAACTTGGTCTTTGCTCTTTTCCCCTTTTTTAAGGGCCAAAAATGGGCCAAAATGGGTCAAAACAACGAGAAAGCAAGTGGCTGCTGATCTGTGACACTAATCTCCCCGTTCATACAAAGGCCCCCTGCCTCCCCCGTGCCGTTTCTGTTTCTTTCTCCTCTCCAAGTACATTCTTCGTTGCAAAGCATCCAGTCACTCTCTCTCGACTTCGGTCTTCCACTCTTTAAAAAACCAACTCACTCTCTTTCGAAAGCTACGCTTTTTATATATACCTTTTTGAACATCACTTTTTACGGTTTTCGTATATAACATTCAAAATGCGTTTCACTACTGCCACTATCGCCTTCTTCGCCGGCCTTGCCATTGCCGCCCCCGGTGCTGATCAGACCGTCTACGAGACCGATGAGGTGACCATCACCTCTTGCGCTCCTACCGTCACCGACTGCCCCGGCAACAAGGGCGGTGCCGGCGTTGAGCCCACTGGCAGCACCACCCCCTCCAGCGCTCCCGCCGTTGCCACCACCCCCGCTGGTGAGGCCCCCCACACCGAGACCGCCGCCGTCTCCACTGAGACCCCCGCCTGGTCTTCCGAGACCCCTGCCTGGTCCTCCGTTCCCACCTGGGCTCCCAGTGCTCCCGCCCCTAGCGCTCCCTCCAGCGCCCCCAGCGCTCCTGCCCTTAGCGCCCCCGCTCCCGTGGTCTCCTCCAGCGTGATTGCCATCACCACCTGTGTGCCCACTGTCATCTACTCTACCGTGCCCGTTTCCGCCAGCACCCCTGCTGGTAGCAACATCCCCCACGGCCCCACCGGTGGTGTTCCCCACGTTCCCTCCAGCAGCAAGGGTGTCCCCACTGGCACTGCTGGTGTCTCCCCCGCTACCTCTTCTCCCGTCTTCAACGGTGCCGGTGCTCTCAGCGGCTCCCTCGGCTTCGCCGGTGCCGCCGCCGTCGCTGCCTTCTTCCTGTAAATGACTTCTTCCGGGTTTTTGATGCACTGCTGCACCTAGTTGGATCCCATGGGTCTAACCCTGGCGTAGCCACTGCGTCGAATCGAAGTGGTTGATTATAGGTGATGTGAGAGGAATGTGTTATTTAGGGTTTCTGGTGATTTACTATTAACAATTGTTGCTTTCTGACTGGATATGTCTATCCCTTTTTTGATTTTTTTGATATACATATTCCCTTTTATTTCTTCTTGGGCTCTCCTGGATAGCTTCGGAGTTGTGCGAAGCTCGCTTGGTGGCTTGAGCACGACCTTAATGTAAACCATGACAGCTTTTCACATTCTCCCTCTCTCCAGCGCCCGTAGCCTATTTAGAATGTATCCTTACTTTCGCACATTTATAATTCTATAACTTGTTTTAGTAGTTTCCATGTCGAAATTTTCTTTTTGAAGGCTTCCAGACAAGTTCATCTCCATACTATTATTGGTCATCGTAGATAGAGTGCTTATTATTTAACCTCGAGTATTGCCTCCATCTCTGCCCCTGACTCCAGGTGCCACATCGAATTTTGTACTTCCTAGGGCTGAATATGCCATGATTTACAATTGTAAAGCCAACTAGGTGACTCGATTTTTGAAATTCGAATACAACTGATTAACCCAGCCAACTACTATCGGGGATGACCGCAATCTCACGCTTGAATCCGAACTACCATGAGTCTCCTAATCACAACCTCATCCATGATTTGAATTAACTTCATGGGTACTGGGGATATATGTACTGTTATCTCAAGTGAGCACTGATCTCAACACACTGGATTCAAGTTAGCATCTGGTCCACTTGAACATGTTGGTCAACGTGATTCATAACGTTTATTTATATTAATGGCGAGTATTGGTCTTATTCATTAATAGTTCCATCCCGAGGTCGATATCCCTGGGCATTCTTTGTAGTTTGCTGTCACCCATCCTTCTAGCCACGGCATCAATAACATTCACATAGAAAATATTCGAGAAGACATCTAAAAAGTCTGCGGAGTACTAAAATAGACATGATAAGGCTGCATAAGCGGCCGACTATTCTTGTACTATTACAGGCACACATGAGCATAACCGCTGTACATATTAAACAATTCGCAGACAAAAATAGAGAGCCCCACCATTCGTGAGTTCAGTGGCTGAATTGGAAGTCTGCTTGTTAATTGAGGATCGAGCGGGTTCTCCTCGAACCAGGTGTCCTTTAGTGCCACTCGGACATTCTAGTCAAGCAAAGGAAAGAAGAAAAGCATCAAAGCAAAGTATGATACCTGTGATTATTCTCAGGCCTCAACACATATCGGATCCGAGCCCCGAATACGAGGATTTGGAACCGCGGCCCCTTCTTATTATTGCAATATACGAAGTATCTTGGCAGGCTTGGCCTTCGCACAGGCCCCATTTCTGCTTCTTTCCAAAGACACATTGGAAAGCCCAAACATACCTAGTAAGTTGAGGCCATTGTACGGAGTGGTGAGAATGAGAAAATGCATAACCCCTTGTGTGGATGCATTTGGACCCTAAATTGGATTCCAAGCAACTAATCAATTTTTGGACTATGTTGGGCTTCTCTTGACATCCTTAATTTTATCCTGGTGGATTATCCATGACCATTGTCCTGAAAAGGAGCGGTATAATTTCGCATTCAGGCAATTGAATTTTCAGTGATGAGTTCGGGACGCCCGATGGATAAGAACAATTAAAGATAATCAGTATTTTTCTAGCCCTAATAACATCCTTTCCACTCCACTGCCTATAAATCCACCTCTGATTTGTTCCTTCTTTGTGTATACCCTGCACGATATGTGTTGTATTCCCTTCTCCGGGAAAGAGTGGATGCCTTTTTGGGTCTATCCGCCCTAGGAAGGACCCATTTATTCCAATTTCTGTCCTATTCTGACTTTGGATACGGGTCTCCGTGACGGTCCACTATTGAACTCTCCCGAAGAGCACAAAGTTCGTGTCTAAAGATAGTATATCAAGCCATATGATATATGATCTACTTGTCAAAATCCCTATTCCACCGAAGAATGCTTTTTGTCCATTCCAGCGACGAGCTTCTGAACATCCCAAACCATCCTCCGACCTTGACTATCCTCTCATGGATCTCTCATCCCTCGAGGGCGCACCCATGGTTAATCCAAAATTCATTATCCCGCCAGATATGACTCCTCCTCGTATCCATACACAGTCGCGTGCTTTGAGTCAACATTTACTCTCAAAACCTCTGCCACCGAGACCTGCTTCAACGGACGCTATCTCGCCAACACAGCATTGTAACGGACTACAGGACTGGCGAGCTAATCGCTCCACAACCAACGGTAATATAAGGCGGACTTCTGCCCGTAGACGTACGAGCAATCTGCCGGATGAACTGTCTCCCAACTGCGATCCGCAATATGAATACGACATGGCCCCACGTATACAACACATTCCACATCCTCCCGTACGACCACGGAGCTGTGTGCCCCTCACTTGGCTCGAAGATGAAAAGAAATGGATTGTTGGAGAGATATATAAGCCCCGCACACATGATTCTCGGCCCCAAGATGATACAGCGGCTTGTCGATCACCACTCTCACCAATTTCGCCCATTTCACCAATTACACCATGGCAGGACGTGTTTCAACGTCTTGACGAGCACATCGACTACAATAATCGCCTTTGTCGGGAGAATCTGCTGAGCCAAACACATGACCCAGCTCTAAGAGATGATCGGGTTTCCAACTGGGTTGAAACTACTCGAAGGATGCATGAGGATCGGCAGAATTGGGCGTGATTGAGCGTTCTTGAGCGCAGTACCACTTTGTTTGGTTGGCGTTATAAGCTTTCTGATATGTCATGGGAATATATTGATTCGTGACCTGGCTCGGGCATCTATGAATGCCAAATAAATACATGTAGACATTGACAGATGCAATTTTGCCTTTCCCCTTTCCTTTGAAACAGTTTTCTGCAGATAACATTGACCACCGCTTATAGAGAATGGGACCATAGCATTTATTCGGTTTGATCTCAGACTCTCAGACTCTTGTATTGGTTGACTTCTCTCAATGGCTCAGGGGTTATTATGAATTCAAATTATGAGGCTGTATTTCATATATCCAGCCTTGCAAATTTGTACCGTTTTCTCTCGCCTGTTTCGAGGGTATACAGGGCCCTCCAAAAAAGAATGCCCACCACGCGACTTTTCATTTAGATAAAGCATCTAACTGATCTTGTTGACGAGCAATTATTTCAGCTTCTTGCACGAGACGACGGAATAGAAAGACAGTAATATCCATGTATTTGACCGGAATTGGAGTCTTACTCTGATATGCTATATATTGATCGAGCGTTTATTGGGGGTTTATCCTTTTTGCGCACTACTATATGAAATATATTCTGACGGGAGGATTGATGGCGGATGGTGCCCCGTCAGCCGTTAACAAGCTCGCCTGTTATTGGTTCCTCTTAATATTGGCTTTTAGGTCAGTGTTGGCGGAAATGCGCTACCGGGAACGGAACAGGGGTCATCAATGGACCCATCTCCACTATCAATTTGAGCATCAAATTCATTTTGATCCAAGGGAGATTACCCTCAATATTGCTCTATTAATGCGCTAGTGTACTCCGTACACGATCTTCCGTAAGGTTTGTAGTTAAGGAAAAACGAAGTGATTAACGCGGGAATTCTGTGAGGAGCTGGGGGTCATGACGACGACAACATGATAGCTTCAAGAGAGGGATAGATACCATAGTGAAATGGCCCTGGAGTTATCAAATGGATTTGTCAATCTAATTTTATGATTCTCTCACTCTCTCACTCTCTACCCATTCTTTTGATATGCTTTATAGCTTTTTTCAGCCTTCCAGTGCATTAGAGCTATCATACTTGTTTTTCAGCACCTTTTCATAAACCAGACGTACGTGATGACGCTGTAAGACCGGTGTTTCACCTATGTTCCGCCTATAAGAGACATTTGTACTATGTATACCAGACGAGTCCGAATCAGGCCAAGACTTTGTACTTGATATGTTGTATAAGTATACCCTGGCAGGGAGAGCCGAGGTGTAGCTGGATTGGACCAGTCCAGACAAGATTAGTGTGAGTGATATCCAGACGAAGAGCCCGATGCAGGGGTTCCCCTCTCCGAGACGCCAGTCACGGCGCTGCTGTATGTCCGTCACCCGTCAGCATAGAAAACTAGCAAACTGCATATTGGATCCACCGCTCCACCGCGAGTAAACAGCCTCGCTAACCCACCCCTGCAGTTTCCGTTGAGGGGGTGATAGGATTAAAAAACGAAAATAAGAAGATGGAAGATTCTCGAACCACTTCGACTTGTTTTTCCCCTCCCTTCGCGGGCTGGGTATCAATCCCGGTCAAGGAATGAGTGACTCCATTGCTCCAATTCTTTTGTGCGCTAACACAGACCAGCAGCTCTCCAGCCTCTGGATTATTTGCCAGCCAGTAGTAAAGATGGTACATATGATAGAATAGAAAAAAAAAATTATATTATAAGAGGACGTGCCCGACGAATTTCTCGGCCTAGTTTTCACCCCGACATCAAGCATCGAGGCTACCAAACCCAGTCCGCAATCAACATCCTTTTTTTATTATTATTGCCTGGGATTAATATGACAGCAATCAAAGAGTGAAACAAGACATGGCTCAAGTTTGAATCAAAAAAGATCTCAAGTTCCAAAGTTGAAGCAAAAGTTGCAAAAGTCCGAAGTTGATATTCCCAAAGTTCCTCCCATCCGTGGTTCACACCTGGGAATCTCCCCGATTCTACCGCCTTCGATAGAAAAAAAAAAAAAACCACCCTCCCCACCCCCAATGGTCCAACTCGCCCACATCTTCAAAAAGGACAAGGATAAGGAGAAGAGCGAGAAGAACAAACCTGATATACGTTCATCCCGAAATTCATTTTCCGCTTCGCGCACATCCCCATCTCCGAAGTCGCCCTCCAAATCCCCAACTAAGTCATCTAAATCTCCTTCCAAATCCTCGTCCCCCACCAAACCCTCCAAACCCTCCAAACCCTCCAAACAATCCTATTTCCCCCACAGTCGGTCATCCTCCAATTCCGGACCGACCGCCAATTTCAGGTTTGCCCGGTCTTCGCGTGACCAGGACATACACCCACTCAATCTCCCACCCGACGAGCTACGTCGTCGATTGTCCGCCATGGCAGCAAACGAAGAGCAGCGGAGCTCCATGGATATTGATCCTCAGGAACCTCAGAACAATGGCATGAATGGCACTGAGGAGCGGAGTCCGACCCCGCCACCACACCAGCCGAATTCAGCCTCTGCCGACGAGGCCGACTCCTTCAAGTTGGCCGGAAACAAGTTCTTCAAGGATGGCAACTATCGACGAGCTATCGAGGAATACAACAAGGGTATGTATTTTCTTATCTCACAGGGACTCTGTGTATCATGAATTAGCCTTGAATGAGCGGGGTCGCTGATGAGTCTTTTGTTACTGCAGCCATCGAGATTAATCCCAACTCATCGGCCTATCTCTCTAACCGTGCGGCGGCCTACATGTCCGCTAAACAATTTTCCAATGCACTTGAAGATGTTCAGCGCTCCAACGAGCTCGATCCCAACAACCCAAAGATCATGCACCGATGGGCTAAGATTCTGACAAGTTTGGGTCGACCCGTAGAGGCCCTGGAGGTGCTGTCACGCATCCAGCCACCAGCGACCGCCACTGATCGGGCAGCCGCAGAGAAGATGCTGCGTTTTGTTACGCAAGCCGAGGAGACAATAGCACAAGACCGCGGTCTGTCGATGGTGATCTACTGTCTAGACCAGGCACGGCAAGGACTCGGACAAGGTGTCAGGGAGCCCCGCAAGTGGACGCTTTTGGCCGCCGAGGCCCATCTGAAGCTGGACAACGTCAACTCGCTGGGCAAGGCACAGGACATTGCGATCAGCTTGCTGCGCGAGAACAGCCAAGACCCGGATGCGATGATGATCCGTGCCCGTGCCTTCTATGCCCTCGGTGAGTCCGAGCAGGCGCAGAAGCTTCTGAAGATGTGCCTCGGGCTGGACCCAGACATGAAGCAGGCCATCAAGCTGCTGCGCATTGTGCAGAAGTTGGCTCGCACAAAGGAAGAAGGAAACACCGCCTTCAAGGCCAAGGATTATCACCGTGCTATCGATCTTTGGGGCCAGGCTCTCGAGGTTGACCCCTCCAACAAGGATATGAATGCCAAGATTCTGGGTAACCGTGCTCAGGCTTATATCAACTTGAAAGAGTATGATTCTGCCATTCAGGACTGTACTGAAGCTCTTCGTCTCGACCCCGGGTACATCAAGGCTATGAAGTGCCGTGCCAAGGCCCACGGCAAGGCCGGTAACTGGGAGGAGGCTATTCGTGACTATAAGAGCGTTGCTGAGAACAACCCCAACGAGAGCGGCATTGCAGAGGATATACAAACTGCCGAATTCGAGTTGAAGAAGTCTCAACGCAAGGACTACTATAAGATTTTGGGAATCAGCAAGGATGCCAGCGATCAGGAAATCAAGAAGGCCTACCGCAAGCTGGCTATTCTATACCACCCAGATAAAAACCGGGACGGTGCAGCCGGCGATGAGAAGTTCAAGGAAATTGGTGAAGCCTATGAGACTTTGATTGATTCTCAGTAAGTCCACCAACCAACGCCATTCATTCGACACAGAGCTAATTTTATTTTCAGGAAACGTGCTGCTTATGATAACTACGATGAACTGAGGGAGGGCATGTATGGCGGCGGTGGTTTCCCTGGTGGTGGTGGTGGTTTCCCCGGCGGCGGTTTCGGCGGCGGCGGTTTCCCTGGTGGTGGATTCGGCGGTGGTGGGTTCGGCGGTGGATTCGGCGGCGGCGGCGTCCATACTATCGATCCCGAAATGCTTCGCAACATGATGAACGGCGGCGGCGGCGGCGACCCCTTCGGTCATTCTCATGGCGGCTTTCACTTCTAGATGAAGCCATCTAACCCATTCTATTCACTCGATACCACGACTGATTCTTTCTTGTTTTGTCCCAAGATGACGAACCCCCCAAAACAGGAATTCGCATGTCTTTAACCGGAGTTGGAGTTGCACCTCGATATCTTGCATATTGATTTGTTGGATATTGGGGTTTCGCTTTTTTTGCCCACTGCCATGTCACATTTTTCCCACCGTGTTTCTGCGGAGACGCCATATGATTCCCGATATGATAGATCTGAATTTTTTTCCTTCAGTCTACTCTTTTCTTCTCCCTTTTTTTTTTCTTTCACCCTTGGGGCTTTTTTTTCGGAGAATTTTGTATATGCGTGCTGCAATCTGGAGTGAATCTACGAGAACAGTGTGGACGATGGTTTTGCAATCCATGTGCACAGAAGACCCACAAGCTCTACATCCGATCAACCATTTTCGGCGTCTGTTTATTGTCTTATTCTTTTGAGTCTTGCTCTTGCTCTTGACCTTGACTTTGACTTTTGTCATAGAGAGATTCGCTTTGCATGTTCTGGGCACTTTGTGAGGTTGTCATTCTTGTTTCCATATAGTCAAGAATAAGCATATACAGCATATACACTAGAATGACGCTCATAAAACAAAGATCTTTCTCTCAGAATATGATTCATTCTCGTATACTCCATAACTACAGGATGGCAGTTCCTTCTAATGCCTACATGTATTATAATCGGTCCATGCTTCCGTTTACGTATTACGACAGTGTTACAATGATTAGTCTATAGTGTCTAGTTTAAAGAACAATTAAGCCAATCATACAAAGTTATCGGCTCATCAGAAACGTAG